ATGGCCACTTCTTCAGGTGAAGAGCCGCCCAACGTATGCAGAGGAGCTTCCTAATTCTACAGGTGAACTAATCTATTGCCATCCACCCATCCATCCTGCAGGGAAGCCCATGGGCAGGTGAAGGGGGTGTAAAAAACCTGAAGATGGGGGCTCCACTCCTTGGAGCAAAGCCTTTCTCCTTTTTTAATTGTACAGTGCGGGGGCAAGGCCCCCAACTTGAATTATTATTTCATACAGAAAACAATTACTTCAAGTTATTGCTGCCAAAGGTGGTTCTACAAGCTATTGAATCATAAGGTGTACTTAGTTTTTCACACATGGCTTCTCCATTTTGGCTTTCTTTTTGTAAAATCAATGACGACATGGTGTAGTATGTCTATTAATACAGGAGAAGAGAGCCGGGCTGGTGTAGTGGTTAACGGCAGCAGGCTAGAACCCAAGAAACCATGAGTTCTAGTCCCAACTGTAGGCACAAAGGAACCAGAAGATGCTTTTTCCAAAAGTCATAATTTGCACCCAAAGTTTGAGTAGATAATACCTCCTGAAAAGCAGCATGCCATTCAGAAGATTCAAAGGATTGCTGGATCTGTCTCAAACTGATCCCAAAATGCAGTACAAGCACAACACTGTAAAGAGGGAATGACTGGCCAAATGCTGCTTGGATTTATTTCAAACCTTTTAAATGACTTCAAACTCTTTATTATTGCTTAAATAATTGACAGTAGAATCACTTCCAAGAGAAAAACAGTATTCAAAAAGTAGGGCTACCATATCTGGGCTGCAAGAATCCGCGTAAACACTACGGGGCAGCAAAGAAACACAGAGAACTCTTCTTTGGTCACCATCTAGTGGCCATTCCTGATTTTGGTAGCTCCAGCCTGTTAGCACTAAGATAAAGCAATTTTTTATTCCATATAATGGAAAATGAGATTGTTAAAAACCGACAGCCCCACTTTAGAGGCTTTGTAGGCTGATCCAAGAAAAGGGAGAAACAGACAGAAGTCTGGTCAATTTCACCCCATTACCTGGGCTTGGACCACCTCCACACAAGAAACTGCCCCAAAGACTCTGTTCAATCCCAGCTGTGTCTTTAAATGGAATCCACTGGGTGGAGCGTGCATCTGTGCAGCTCCATGCAAAACCATCTCAGCAATTACCCTGAAGGGGGACCTGTGAAGGTGGCGAGCCCCTTCCCTCTTTAAGGACCTGAGGACAGAAGGCATCTCCAGGTGAAGTGCTGAAGTTGGGAGATGTTGGGACTGAATTCCTCCCAGTCAAAAAACAGCTTCATTATTATGAACAGGAGAACTGGGTTTGTGGTTGTTTGGGTTACACTACAGCTGAGTTAAAAATAAAAAAATAAAAATAATAAACTGGCTTGGCCACTAAACACAGAAGTCAGCTCCGAACACAGTTCAGAAATGCGACGGGAGAGCTGGTTCTGGAGCAAAAAAGCTGAATAAGAGCACATTTTGCCAGGTTCAAATTTTGCACTTACTAGTTAGGTGGTGTAAACCAACTAGAGAGGAGTGCACAGACAGCCTTAAAAAAGGTATGCAGCAGCCATTAGGGAAACCTCAGCTTAGGCCAGAAAGGCAGGGCAGGATGAGAAAGAAACTCAAGATTGCCCCTCCTTGATTCTCTTGGGTATAAGCGGTGGGGGGAGAGAAACTCTGCCAGGCTATCAAGATACTGTTATTATACCCTGTAACTTATAAGGCAGTAGTTGTTATGGCGGGGTTCCTAATCTGGCCAATTTGAAGGGCTGGCACAAATGAACAGTGTTGCCATGTGTTGCTTGCTCTGACTACTGGTATATGCAGTGTGGCACTCTAAACTCCAGGAACTGAATATCCTGTCGTCCTGCCTTTTTAACTAAAATGGGCCTCCTCCTTGGCAGATCCTCTTCATGCCAGAGCTTTAACAGAGGAAAAGACGAAGGAAGCTAGATTGACTCTAGAAGGGAGTGGAAGGACTTGGTAGCCAAAGTGCTCTGATGGACACTAATCTTCCCAAAAGCGAACTAAGGATGTACTCATCAAGTGAAGAGGATTGCGCTCCAAATTTCTACAGAATTTCCAAGGTGGGAAGGAGACTCAGTGGGCTACCACTATGTGATATGTACCACCAAGGAGAGAGATCATGGGAGAAAGCAAAAGATTATGAAGCAGTGGAATGTTGCGACTTGGATGGGATAGCAAATTCAATCCATCTTCTTTTTCCTGAAGGCTACAGCTGGCCAACTGGCTCCACGCTGACCATTGACTTGTCTCCAAATCCCTCTTATGTCACATATTGGCATACATGTCACTCATCAAGCAATCCAGCTTCGTGAAGCAACTTGAGTGAGTCCAGCATCTTCCCCCCTATTACCACTGTTAGCAAAAGAAACAGCACAGCGATAAACAGGGTAGCAAGAATGAAGCGTTGGTTACTCAACTGAGGGCCATCTCGCCTGCCTGGACTGCCCTCAGGGCTGTAGCCTTCTAAACTAAATTGTCCATTACTAAGATGGGAATCGCGCACAGAAGCAGATGAATTTGGAGTAGGTAGAGTGGCCGACAATGAGCTGAAATTGTGAGTCTGGGTTTTGGAAGGGAACAATGGTTGGGGAAGAGCAGCCTTTCTTGGGTGAAGCGCTGCTACCTTTGTCTTTCTGGCGTAAGGGGCAGAAAGAGGGGCATGGCTAGCAGACCTGCGAATGGCTGCAGCACCAACAGTCCTGCTGGTCTGAGAGCCATGGGTGGCCAGGGGCAGCTTAACAGGAGCAGACTGCTGGATGGTGTTAGCAGCACTGCTGCTTCGCTGCACCAATGAAGAACCAAAGACCTCCACATCGTTTGTCCTTCCGGCCTTGGGATGTTGGGAGGGTCCGTCCACTTTCCCTAAGGGATGCTCTGCAGGGCCAAAGATTTTCTCTTTCTTAAAGGCCCTGGGCAAAGAATCCAGTCCACCCGGTGGCCTTGCAAGGTCAAACCCAGCCGCTTGTGGGGACGCCAGACTTCTGTTCGCTGTAGGATGAGGGAGTTCGCTTAGGGAAGGAGGTGGCCTGGGTATCTCTTGGCCTAAAAAAGAAAAGGAAGAGACGTTATTCTCTATACTTCAGCACAAAAACTCAAGACACAACAAGAAGTCATCATGAACAGGCCTTAAACCATTACAAAATTATTGCCATGCATTTCTTAGAGCAGGAGGACTGCAGCCTCACCCTGTTTACTCACATGTAGGTGAAATCATGCCTGGCTAAAAAAATGAATCTGAAAATGGTTTATCTTTATAGCCTTTTGTCCAGAAATCTTAAGGGCTATAGAATTTGGCAGGTGAGTTTGGAAATGCACAAAACCATAAAATCCCTTGGAATATTTCTCTTTACAGAACGTTCCTGCTAAAGTGAGTTCATGCACCAGCGATTTTTTAGATTTGTTGTATGCCACCCAGAGCTGCCTGTGGTGAGATGGGCGGCTATATAAATTGGTCAAATCAATCAATCAATCAATCAATCAATCAGTCAGTCAGTCAGTCAATCAGTCAGTCAATCAGGAGTCATCCATTTGCTAGAACTACTGAGTGTGTTTTGTAATCATTTGGAAGGTTTTGGTACTTAAAGAGAAACCTGTACATTAGTCTAGGAACCCTCCACCCATATTCCATTTAGCAATAATAAATTGTGCTTAATAATAATTGTGCTTAACAATCATCAATCAGTTTAAGAAGGAATTATGGTACAGATGAGATTCTTCCGATCCATCCATCTTAGATTTTTTTATCCTGCCTTTCTTATTTTTGTAAATAACCCAAGGCGATGAACGTACCTAAAACTCCTTCCTCCTCCTATTTATACATCATATTCTATTAAAACAATCTATCCAGAGACTCTCTTCGATTACAGATCCTTCATTGTGCTATTAATTCAAGTATATAGCTTGCTTTGCAAAAAGGAACAGATTTGTGGATAAAAAGTAAATGAACTTCACCATCAAGTAAGGATGCCACTGGCTGAAAATAGTTACTTATTCATTAAATTTATATAAAATTAGCAAATGAATAGAACAATAGCTTTGAAGAAAATAGCATTGTTTTCCTATGATATCATCACAAATCATTTTGGGAAAAAATATTTTTCTGAAGCATGAGAGAAAAGGATTGAGTTTCTTTTATAACAATATTTGCTGCTTTCCATTTTTGAAGGTACAACTGCAAACTTTTACTTATGAATTCTTTTAAATATAAAAGTAAGTTACATTGAAAACTGCTTGGAGAATCTAACGGAGCTCCTTTAAGTATACTACAATTTCCTAGAAATTATGAATTAACTGGTCAATCGGTGGATTTTTATTTTCATTTACCTTCTATTATTCTGAATGTCACCAGTCCTAATGCTGGTTTCACTGGACAGGCTTCTTTGGCAGGATAATAAAACTGATAGCAATTTGGAGACCTGCCTTTCATTTTGGTGTTAAAGACTACATAGTTGCACGTCTTATCACCTAGAAACCACACAAAAACACAGAGAAAACATGTTTAACAGCAAGTTTTCCATCTGGTTGTTTTATGATCAACTTAGGTCCCCAAAATTTCTTTTTGATTTAGTTCCCACTGCAGTGGCTATGCCAGTTCAGGGAGAAGATTGCAACCGCAAATGAGAGGCGCCCCTCAGAAATGGGCAAAACGTTTAGAATTTGAAAGGTTTGGAGTTCGAAACATTTTGAATTCACAATGTTTTGCACACTGCTAATGTTCCTCCATAAAGGAATATATATATATACATACATATATACATACATACATAAAAATAAAAATAGAGATTTATATCTTCTATGACATGTGAATTTTCTATGTGAAGAGAGGGGAGTTCCCCAAAATAAATAAATAAATGTAGAGGACTCTACCCCCATCTAATAAGCCCCAGATATGGCTATTCAACCTCTGTATGCTGTCAAAAATTGCACTGCGTCAGCCAGCATGTTTGTTGGACATTCACTCCTGCCTATACAGGCAGTCCTCATTTAGGGACTGCCCTGTTTAGCGACCATTAGCAGTTATGATGGTGATGAAAAATTAATTTTGTGACCGATCCTTGCATTTACAACCTTTGCAGGTCTGTAAAGCAAAGGAACGCTAAAGTAAGACCATAAGCACAGTAGCGGTTTCACTTAGCAACTGCTTCACTTAATGACCAAGTTGTTGATCCCACTGTGAGGACTACCTGTAATTCCAACTTTTATTCTTACAGAGAAAGAGATGCAGGAAATGGTCTTCCTTTCTTCTCACCAAACTCTTAATTTTAAGAACAAAACTTGTCTATACCATTCTCCCAAGGAGCGCTGAACAGTCTACCTGTACCCCTCCCTTTTTATTCTCCTAATAATCCTGTGGGGAACTTTAGACTGAATAACAAAGAATTTGTCCCAGACCCCAAGGAAGCTACATAAGCGAGAAAATGAAATCCAAGAGGTTGACCACAGTGCCCAAGATGAGGACCTTGTGTTTTTCAAGAAGGAAAAGAAAATTGAGGTAGAGCAGAAGTGGGCGGAGGCAACCTGTGCTAAAAGCCTTGGTGACAGAGCAAACGGGCAAAGTGGTGGTGGTTGGCAAAAAGGCAGCTGTACAAGATACATAGAAAAGCTGAGAGGAGGCCCACTGCATCAGGGGACGGCGTCCTTCAGTCTATCTTTTCAGCCTGAGATTTCCTGGATCAGATTTACTTAGGTCAGCTCTCCCCACCCAGTGCTATCCAGATAGGACTCCAGAAACGCATTAATCCTGGGAGCTGGAGTCCAACCTATCTGGAAAAAAGCCTGGGAAGATATTTGCTTCAGCATTGCAGTTGCCTCCTCCTGACAGCCCCTTCTGACCTGCTGAATGACTCTCCAGCTCCAAAGAACGGTGGTGGTCAATAGGCCACCCTTAGGATGCCAGAACAGGCAGAAGGACGTGATATTTTTATGTAGCTGTGGGGTTCTGGCCAACCTTTGTTCTGGGAGGAAGATTTAGAGCTCTTTTCTTGAATATGTGCAGGGTCTACCAGAGGAGGTCAAGCCATTGATCCTGGCCTGCACACAACAGCAGCAGGCTCTCTGTGCAACTCACTAACGCAAAATCAAAGAAACCCCATTACTGCAATGTGTGAACTCAGCCAGTTATTTGGAAATAAACCCTGTCATACGCAATTGAAGTTAAGTGTCCATAAACCCTCCAGGAGACTCTCTTCCAAGTCCAGAACGTCACCCCGCCCCAAGCTTGTGATTTTTACCTGCTATTTTTTCCAAGCAGCAAGTGTTCACACAGGCTTCCCAAGATGGTGTATAGATCGGATCTGTCCCTCTGATGCCTTTGGAAAAAGCTGCTGGGATATAGACCATGATGTCTTCCATCTTCTCTGAGGAACACCTTTGGGTCTGGGATGGTTTTATCATGACAGAAAACAGCACTGCTGATAGACAGGCCAAGCACCGTGTGGTCTGAAGAGCCATTTCTTCCTCTCAACTGTGATGGGCTTTGTAAGGGTCTTCTGTTCCCACCAAGAACTTTTCAGCTCAGGATACAGGTTTCCAAGATGGCAGCATTACTGAAGTTCTTCAGCTAAGAGAAATGAGACGATCCCTGAGTCTTTAACTGCAGGTACAAAATAGAACTAGAGTTTCCACCGCATTCATGTCTGTTTACCACTCCATTTGAAAAGTCATTTCAATGAAGGAGGTCAACCACAACAGTGGATTAACAATTAGGAAGGAGAGGCCCACTGCCAGAGGCCAAGGACTGAGAGATACCTAAAACTCGTGGTGTGGAGTTGTGCCTGCGTATTTTGCTGGTCTTTGGACATCTCACATGTTTAACCTAATGCAGATTCTCAAACCCTTGGAAGACTCAAAGGTCTCCAGAATCCAGAGGGGCCAAACAGGGATTTTGTCTCACACCTTCCTGCTGTGCAGAAAGGAGCATTCACTGCAGCGGATGAAGCAAAGAAATAGGGAAGAATTCTCAGGTTAGGACTTGGAGCGCTTTGGATTCAGCTTCAAAAAGGTGCTTCAGAATGCACCATCTGCGACTCTTTGAAGCTGCTGTGCCTTTTCCAGCTGGCCGCTTTAAAGAGTTGCAGCTGGGTCCAAAGTGACCCCTTTTTAAAATCAAATCTGACTTGCTGAATTTCCCTTCTCTGTACACTTTTCTGTCCTGCACACTTTAAAAAAAAATGATTTGCAGAACTGTGTTTATGTATTTCTGTTCGGTTATGGAAAACAACTGCTGGAGGGACAACTTAAGGAACACTGAAAGAGTACTGCAAATCTGGAGAGGAGATTTTTCACAAGGTCCACTCACTGCCACCCAGCTGACTTGATTTGGGCCACCAAAAGCAGCCACAAAGGACCCAGGGGTCATCCTTGTGTAAGTTAAAGGAACTTTACCAGTAAAAGAAAGCAAAGCAACCCTTGATCCAGCCTAATCACTCTGCATTAGAAAGCACTCTAGAACAGTGTTTCTCAACCTTGGGAACTTTAGGATGTGTGGCTACAGCAAAATCATGATAGAATTTGGACCATCCTGTCAGTGCCAAGCAACAGGTTTAGTAAATTCACAACAGGGAGCATAAGTGACAGGCAGTTTTCTGGTCTGGGGATCAGATAGCCAGGGTGTTGGAGAAGCAAACAGGAGACTAATCCTAAAGGAGAAAGCAGGCAACTCAATCAAGACGATGAAGGATAAGGACGAAGACCAGAATATTTAAAGCAGTGGTCTTTCTAGGGGTAGCATACAATTGTGAAAGTTGGACAGTAAGAAAGAGAAAGAAGACTGACAGCCCTGAACGAAATCATCTGGAGACTACCATGAACTGCCGCAAAGACCAGTCGATCAGTTGTGGGCCAAATAAAGACTCGTCGCTTAGTGGACCTAACGACCAGCCAACAGAAGATCAACGAACAGAAACTCGTGTACTTTGGGTGTGTGAAGCAAGTGGATGATGGACTAGAAAATAACAGAGGAGGGATTAAAACTAAGGTGAATGGGTGGGATCCAAGAGACTACAGAATCGTCTTTGGAAGAGCTACAGGTTTTTGCTGCAAGCAAATCACAGCGAAGAACCTTTGCCTGTCACAGTCACTTGGAGTCAACTCAATGATGCATAATTAAGTTGAGCCAAATAACTCTAACCCACAAAGAGAGGCACACTTCCTCCTCACAGCTTCTGCTGCTACTCTTTACAAGCGTTCTTTCTCAGGGCTGTTAAAAGATAAAGACCTCTGGGAGTAAGCAGCAGACTCTCTACTGGGTGTAGCCCTTTTAGACACCCAGCAACACCTACTTCTTTGTAAAGCCTGCCCCAGCCAGATGCTTGACTTGCCTCCGTTTTCACTATGGCGTATACTTCCTTGTAATAACTGGAGGCAGGGGGAAAGACCCAGCCAGCCCACACCTTTATAATTCAGAGCCTACCACTCAAAAGGAAAGTCTGAAAGGAGAAATAGCAGGCTGTGCAAAGAACTCTGAAGCATTTAGAATCACAGTGATATATTCATTAGATGCAAAAGGGTGGTACCGTATACAATACTTCCTTCTCCAACTATTTTTCCCTACAGCTTGCTCTATGGGAAAATTGGGCTGAGAAAGAGTGATTGGATCAAATGGATCAACACAGCTTCCACGGTTGAGGCTGGCCTTAAACCAGGATCCACCAGAACCACATCATATTGACTCTGAAGGATTAGACCTCTTATCAAGCCATGGAGGCTGGATTCCTGTATGACCCTGAAAGTCTGTGCAGTCAGAGGGAGGTCTACAGCTTTCTGTCTATCTCAGATGCTCACATCTTCTGAAGGGAGGTCGAGAAACAGGTCAGGGAAGCCGAAAGACATTCAGGCAGTGGCAATAACCTTGAGGAGCAGGTTAGTGGCTGAGCCACCACCAAGACCAAAGTCGGATAAAAGAAATCTGAGGCCAAATCAGGAAAGGAATTTGAGAAAATTCTTAGACTTGACCCTCCCTAGTTCTCTTGTAGATAAGGGGGGGGAGCATACACTCAGCCTTGTGTGATTTTGTTACTGTAACCGTACAGTAAAAGTAGTACTAGTTTGCATGCCTTGGTTACCCAGTCAGGTCTACCTTGGAGGGCTGGCAGGCCGTCCTACGGATGGTGCTTGTCCTCTTGGCTGAACTGAACCCTCTCCACCATTCCTGGAGTTAGCAGAAAGGCATCCTGGTCTCACAGCCGATTAATCCCCTTCTCAAGCCCTGCCAATCTCCTGATTTTCCCCAAGGCCAAGCTTAGAGACCAGGCCCACTTTCAGGCTCATCCTGGAAGGCTGCAGTAAGAGGCGAAGGGCTCCTGTGACCACCGTGTACCCGAGGATGCGACTTCAGGCCGTTGTGCTTGAGGGGGTGAGGCAAGGCTCTCCTTAGGGCAAAGGAGGGCGGCCAGAGCCACTGCCTACCCCAGTGATTTTCAACCTTGGCGACTTTAGGATGGGCCGACTCCATCTCCTGGAATTCCCCAATCCATGTGCAGACTTCAACTCCCAGAATTCCCCAGTCAGCATACAGACACTGGCTGGGGAATTCTGGGAGTTGGAGTCCATCTATCCTAAAGTTGCCAAGGCTCAAAAACACTGCTGTAGACTATATTAAAAGGCTACACTACTCCATGCAACATCGATTTTATTTATTTACTAAATTTGGATGCCTCCCATTCTGCGAGTTGAAGGCCACACCCTCAGAAATGTCCAAGGTTGGGAAACAGTGCAGAGTATGGGATATAGTCTCCTATACTCTGCACTGTTTCCCACCCTTGGACATTTCTGGGGGTGTGGCCTTCAACTCCCAGAATTCCCCGGCCAGTGTCTGTATGCTGACTGGGGAATTCTGGGAGTTGAAGGCCACACCCCCAGAAATGTCCAAGGGTGGGAAACAGTGCAGAGTATGGGATATAGTCTCCTATACTCTGCACTGTTTCCCACCCTTGGACATTTCTGGGGGTGTGGCCTTCAACTCCCAGAATTCCCCGGCCAGTGTCTGTATGCTGACTGGGGAATTCTGGGAGTTGAAGGCCACACCCCCAGAAATGTCCAAGGGTGGGAAACAGTGCAGAGTATGGGATATAGTCTCCTATACTCTGCACTGTTTCCCACCCTTGGACATTTCTGGGGGTGTGGCCTTCAACTCCCAGAATTCCCCGGCCAGTGTCTGTATGCTGACTGGGGAATTCTGGGAGTTGAAGGCCACACCCCCAGAAATGTCCAAGGGTGGGAAACAGTGCAGAGTATGGGATATAGTCTCCTATACTCTGCACTGTTTCCCACCCTTGGACATTTCTGGGGGTGTGGCCTTCAACTCCCAGAATTCCCCGGCCAGTGTCTGTATGCTGACTGGGGAATTCTGGGAGTTGAAGGCCACACCCCCAGAAATGTCCAAGGGTGGGAAACAGTGCAGAGTATGGGATATAGTCTCCTATACTCTGCACTGTTTCCCACCCTTGGACATTTCTGGGGGTGTGGCCTTCAACTCCCAGAATTCCCCGGCCAGTGTCTGTATGCTGACTGGGGAATTCTGGGAGTTGAAGGCCACACCCCCAGAAATGTCCAAGGGTGGGAAACAGTGCAGAGTATGGGATATAGTCTCCTATACTCTGCACTGTTTCCCACCCTTGGACATTTCTGGGGGTGTGGCCTTCAACTCCCAGAATTCCCCGGCCAGTGTCTGTATGCTGACTGGGGAATTCTGGGAGTTGAAGTCCATCCGTCTTAAAGTCGCCGAGAGGGAGAAGCGCTGGAGTCTCCCTTCAAGCCATTGGATCCTGAAATGAGAAAGGTGTTTTTCCAGCGAATTATTTTATTGACATGGATCACTTTGGCCCATGCTTGTTTGTGCTTTGCTTTGCCTTTTTTTTAAAAAATAGGAATGGTAGATTAAGAGAGCCCGTTTGGTGTAGTGGTTAAGGCATCAGGCTAGAAAGCGGGAGACCAACTCCTGCCTTTAGCAAGGAAGCCAGCCGGGTGTCCTCGGCCAGTCCCTCTCTCTCAGCCCCAAGAAGGAGGCAATGGCAAGCCACTCCTGAGGAGTCAACACAGCCCCGAAGGCAGCAGAAAGAGACGCTAGATGAAGAGGAAGCAAATGTCAGATTAAGAGGAAGCGAAGGCTGTATTAAGAGGAAGTGATGCTTATGGTGTTTGTCTCTGTGTCCTTTTCTCAGCATCCCCTTCACCAGCCAAGCAACGAGCTAAAATGGATGACATCGTGGTGGTGGCCCCAGGGACTCAGGCATCACGGAATGTCAGCAGTGACCCAGATGTCATAAAACTGCAGGAAATCCCCACTTTCCAGCCTCTGTTGAAAGGTAAGAGAATACCCGAATTGAAGTTCATGCAACTTTGATAACAGGAAGTTTCTCCTTCCCCAAATCTGTTGTTTCCTTGTGTCTCATAACGTTCCTCTTTTTCCTCTTATCTAGTCACCTTTGTTGTGCACTGCTGAGTTTAGAAAGCAGTAGAAGGAAATGGGCGGAAACAGTAATGGTTTGATTTTTTTTTTTCCACATGCCCTGGTAATATAGTCCCTTAAGCGTTTGGTAGTTGAAGTTATACTACTAATTTGCATTGAGTCATTTTGTCAGCAAAATGGAGAAGTGTCTTCTGGTAGACTTAGGAATAACTTGCTAGTTTCTGAAAAACAATAGTTACTGCATGTACTTATTCACATATTCATGACCATATTTATGGCCCATTTGTCTAACATATATGAACAATTGCTAGTTGCTCGTTTCTCATTAATGGGAAAAATGCTGCCTGCAGGAAAACTTGTCTATCTTGTCCGATGCTGTCATTTCTAACAAACTTTCAAGGAGCTCAGGATCAATGTAAGGTCACTGGATTAGTTCATTTTTGATCTTTAAAGAATTGTTAAAATAAAAACAAATGATAGCTACAAAGGTATCTCATGTTTAGGGTAGTGTCAGATAATTGCATAAATGATTTACTAGATTAGATTGGGCGTGTTGTTCAGCATGCTCAATTGTGGTGAAATCTGGATTTGAAGTTCCTTAAATAATAGTCATAAGGGTGTGTAAAAGCCACCCTTCTGGGAAGAGTGAGTTTTACGCAGACTTCATTACCATAGACCAGTGTTGTCCAAACTTGGCCACTTTAAGATGAGTGGACTTCAACTCCCAGAATTCCCCAGCCAGCATGGGAGTTGAAGTCCACTCATCTTAAAGTGGCCAAGTTTGGACAACACTGCCATAGACAATGTGACATTAGAGGTGGAGGCATTTTTGAAAAAATTGCTATCAAATTTATGTTTGTCTAGTTTTGAATGGAGAAGAGTATTTTCTATGTGGGCATTTGCCACTTTTTTCCATCCAACACATAGTGTGATGCTGGAGCAGCATTAGCTCTTGCCTAAAGCCATTAAAAAAAAGTCCGCTCTCCTTCCCAGTGTCGTTAATGACTTCAAATGTTACTCTTGTGACAGATGGCATGAAGCGGCTAGTTACAGTTCTGCAATTGAAGGTGTAGTTCTAGTTTGGCGGCCCTTTTTGGGACCTCCAGCTACCATGTTACAATTCAAAGTAAAGTTTTTAGACACACAGGAAGACTGTCTTTCCATCAGGGTACTTCTCCTGTGGGAGGGCTGCACAAAGCAGCTTTTCCAGATGCCGTGTTGATGTCTGTGTGTGCTGTTCTAAGCTCTTTGCCAGCTTTGTTTTTCAGGCTTCTGCTATTACAAATCAAGGCGGTTAAAACTTGAATCCAACATGTCCCGCCCTGTTTACACTTCATGGTTTTGAATAAAAACAGTTGCCTGACAAATTGATGGAGAAGTTTGAAAACATTTGTATATTGGGAGCTGAAGTCTTTGGCAATGATTGATTGAGCTGCCTAAAGGTGGAAAGGGGGGGAAGAACAATGGTTGGCGGCTGTTGTTGGTTGAGCTGTTTTTTAAGCACGTGGAGGTGCATGTGTGGCGCCCGTCTGCCACCATCCAAACCGAATGTTACTTTTTCTGGGATCATGCTACAGCTGTGCAGTCCCAGGAATAGTTGCGGATGTTTTAAAGGATGGAAATCTGGTGCTATGTGAAGGGTCCCTCATGCTCTGAAGCAACTTTTGGTCTTCATATCCAAAGCTGAGGCTTCCCATTGTTATGCTGGTGAGGGACAGCTGGGAGCTGAAGCTGACAAGGTGGGAATCAGAGTTTCTCTGGCAAGACAGGATATGCACTGAGTAGGTGGCTCCTGATCTCTAGACTGAAAAGGGAATGGCTAAATATGGTCAGCTCGAAAAAGCAGGAGGAAAAGACCTAAAATTAAAACACCAAAGGAGAGAGAGCAAGATTTCCCCTTGAGTTCTACGTTCAGCAGTAGGTGCAGGTCCTACAAGTGTGCAGCTGCTGTCTTCTCTGCAATGAAGCGTCCTCTCTAGCTGAGTCTGGTCAGTGAGCTTCTGCTATAAGCAAATACAGGGTTGACTATCTGTGAATCAAGATTTATTGCTGCCTCTGCTGATAAGGAAAGGGCTACAGATGCACAAGTGATGAAGTATGAAACTTGAATATTGACTTGAAGTAACAAGCAAGGCATTTAACACAGAATCAGTATCCTGAGATCAGTATCAAGGAATGTGTTTCTGGAAGTCTGGTGAAATTCTTTTTCTATTCTAGGTTGATCCATGCTTGGTGAATTCTGTGCCTCATTTAATGCTGTTGTCAGGTTAGGTGCCTGGCTACAGTTGTTTGGTTGTGAACAGTGAAAATGATGAATTGGAGGCAATTAGCCAGCTTTTTGCTGATCATGGTTAGAGGCAGTTGCAAATGGGTGAAGCATGTCAACGCCATCCACCCCACCCGCGTGAGCCTTTGATCAAGTGGCACTGCAGGGAAAGCCAGAGTAGCCTTAACTGCACGAACGCATGTTTTTGTTGTATGTCCATCCAGGGGAAGGCCCGAGTCTCTTCTCGGTAGCAAATGATGAAGGAAATATTGGCTTTTCATCTCCTGGGCGTGGGTCTGGCAAAATGGCCTTCCAGAGCTGCTGTTGCTTTTCAGTATTTCTCAAAGGTTTCCATTGCTGCTGGTAGCAGCCTGTCCTGGGAAACCGGTTTGGATAAGTAGGGAATAGCTTAACATTAGCCCTACCTCGTGGTGTTCCACCTGTCCTGACTGTGATTTGTGTAGTAGAAAGCTTCATTTTAAAATACAGTCAGAAGTCCCAAAGCAACATTTTAGAATCATGAGTGCAGGGAGTAATTGCATACGTTCTCCTATCTTAAAGCAAAGGGGATGGTACCATTCTTGTACCATTCTTGATCTTTTTTTTTTAATAAATAGCTCTTTGCCAGCTCTGGTGACACGTTTTGACAAATACTGCGAACTATTCTGTACGTAGGATTAATACTAAATCCAACAGGTGGCGCTGTTTCCTGCCTCTCTGGCACATAGTAGCTCAGCTGGAGAGCTTCCAAAAGGAGCTGATGTTTAAAGGGATAAGAAGCATTTGCCAAAGGCTTGGAAAAGATCCTCAAAACCCACAGATGAATAGAAAGGAGCAAGATTTATGACATGGAAAGTGAATGTCCTTATGTCCAAGTGAAGAATTGTCCTCATGCTCCTTTTAACAGCGAGTGGAAATGAGGAGGGCGTCATGGACTAGATTATCATATTTCCCCGTTTCTGAAATCCAAATAGGTGTCAGAATGGTAAATGCTGTTCAATTAAGCAAGTCTAACATTGCACACATTGGCACAAAAAATCCAAACTTTACATTATATATTAATGGGTTGAGGACAATCAAAAGCTGATGAGGAAAAGAATCTTAGAGTCCTGATGATGAGTCAGTTAAATTATCAACCTAGTTAACATGTTGTAAAAAAGAAAAATTTCATCCTTGTAATCATTAGGCAATGAAGTGAAAATAAACAGCCAATACATTTCTAGTCATGATATCTGAAACAAGATATTGCAGACCTGGAGAAGTTCAAAAATAATGCAGCCAAAGTAATTTGATGGCTGGAACAGCTTCCATTCAAGGAAATATTACAGTACTTGGAGCTTTTTATCTTGAAATAAAGACAGAAAGGATGATAGAAAAGTTGTAGAAAATCATGTGTGGTATGAAAAATGGTTTGAGACTGCACTAAAGTTTGTAATTATGATTGTTCACTGCCCAGAGTCATTTGTTTGAGATGGGTGGCCATAGAAATCAAACAAACAAACAAACAAAGTCTCCTTCTGTCATACTCTTAGAATACAAGATCAATTAAAAATAAATTCAGGGAGATTCAGGAAAATGAAAGGAAATGCCTCTTTATAGAATACATAGTTAAACTGTGAAATTTGGTGCCATCATTTATGTGTTTGGTTATTAATTCTTTACATTTTTACCAGTAAAGGATATTAATCCAACAGACCTCTTTTTGCATTTTACCAACTGTTTCAATTCCTTTTTAAAGGTTGGAATTATATTTGCTATTTTATAGTCCTTGAGAACAGATGTTGACATTAAATTAAATCTGGACCCAGGGTTTATTTGTTTTTATTTTGTTAATTAAATTACGTAGGCTTATATCTTTGTTTGTCTCTATTCATCTCGTTCCCATCCTTTAAAAGCCAGCTCTGGCATAGTTATTTGTTTTATGTCCCCAGCAATGTAGGGAGTTCTGGGGTTTTGTTTTTTTCAGGCTAGACAAGGCAATGCAGATTTCTCAGGTCACGCAAGGTTGGGGGGTAGTTTGATAGGAGGAAAATGGAGTCTTGGCACAGAGACTCCACTGGAGCAAGTGCAGGTGAAGTCAGAGCAGAATAGTCAAAAGAATCTTGAGTAGTGTTTAAGAGAACAGGATCCCAGAGTAGCAGAGCAGCGAGAGGTCCTACAAGAAGCTACATGCCCAGGTTCAAGGGCAATTTCAGACAAGAAGTTCAAAAGACTCTTTTGTTCTGAGACTTGGTCAGGATGGGCTAGAACAGTCTTTCCCAACCTGGACAACTTTAAGATAGGTGGACTTCAACTCCCAAAATTCCCCAGCCAGCATGATCATTGCTAAATTTTCTGGGAATTGAAGCCCACAGCTCTCAAAGTTGCACAGATTGAGAAACAATGGGCTAGAAGAAAGGGATCAATAGATTGCTTCAGGAGAGTCAGTCAAAATATCAGAGAAACTCCTTGCTATTAGTTGATTAATGCTAATTTACTGGTCGTTGTAAAGACCTTGCCTTTGGGGGAGAGAATGGTGACAGTAGGCATCAGAGGTGGTGTTCTGCAGGTACTCCAGTTGGTTCATCCATAGCTTGGGACAGGGGTGCTTTGAACTGGCTAGTTGAAGAGCGTGTTTTGAGATTGGATAG